TAATTGCATAAGGTGAGATAGAAAATCCGTAATTTGATTGATGGAGGACCTTAACGTTATGCTTATTATATATGGTTCCTTTCAGCACATCAGTACTCATATCGTGATGATGGAGCATAACAAGTCCCCCATCCTCCATCTTCATTATTGTATTGTCACTGACAAGCAGAAGGCTAAAACGACGCATTTCATATACTTGATGTGTTTACAGGTTACGTGGGTTCTGATATCCCTGTAAGCGACTATGCAGAAAGGTTCAAAGTCTGATGTTGCCTTGTGCTGACTCAGTCGTGGAAGGTGAAAGTCACAGTTTGTGATGCAGGCACCTAATGCCTTTGCCTTGCAGTTGGTCTGTCCGTGAGCATCATCATTAGGTATTTTGTAGAGTGACCAGAACAGGTAGAAAAGATCACGCTGTGGGGTGGTCTGTTGTTGCAGATGGTGAGCACCGGATGAGCCCACATCTGGGGTTTGATTTGAGTGACCTCTTCTGCTGGAAGGTGGAGTATTAAGGAGGTTGTTCAGGACATGCACCGTGAGTGTCAGGTGGGCTCCACCTGTGGGACAGGCTCACTCTCAGAGCAAAGGGGAAGGGAGATGGTACTGGGTGAGGGACACCACTGTACCACAGCGGGGTAAGCGACAAGTTAATTCTTACAGTCATCCTCCTCCTGGACAGAAGCGAAGCTCCCCCCAGCACAGCGCATTTTTCGGTGTTGGGATTGCAAATCATTTTACTGCAGAAGGTCCACAGAAAGTTCTCTGATGGACACTGAAACTCCCACGGTACAATATAAACATTCCTGACAGTGAAGTTATGTGTACAGGGAATTACACAAAGAAATTAAACTCGGCCACAATGTTATTCATGATATAGTCAAAAGTGTGGTGCATTTTTTTTTTTTTTTAACTTGTCTAAAATTTCATCTTGCACAGAGAGTGAGGAAACCTTTATTACCACAGAGGTCTGAGGGCCCCTCACAGCAATGAACAGGATGATAAAGCTGACAACTCTAGCTTTGGGAGCACAGGCAAACTTCTAAATGGCAAGATTATATCATGTTGATGGGACGGTTTCTTTTAACTGATATGGAGCAGTCTCACTTGGGGCAAAAGAAGCCAGGAAGAAACAGCAAATTTTCTTTGCCCATGCATGTTTCCTTGGCTGGCTGCAGCTGGGATGGCTCCAACAGGCTGCACGAGGTTTTTAAAGCCACACCAGGCTCTCTGGGAATCAGCAAAGCGGATGGGAAAAGAGGAAGCCAGACCTTTGTTATTGTTTTTAATACCTTGATTCTTGTTCTACTCGCCTTGCTGTGAGTTGGAAAACAGTTCCTGGGCATGCTGTTGTTTTATTGCAGGGCTGTACACGTGCTGATGAAATGTCATTTCCTGGCAATGTTTTGGAGAAGGAGGTGCTTCTGAAGGAGGTGCTTCTGAAATAAAAAAGCCTGAGGGAAGAGAGGTTCTGGGCTTACTTGAAATATTATTGAAGCTTTTTATCACTGTATTTATCAAGAGCCAACTGCTTGCAACCTTTCAGAAGAAAGTATTTCAGCTTCTTGAAGGAGTCTGAATAGGGGAAAACCATCTTTTTTTTTGCCATTTCACATTTCTGCGACCTTCATTTTAAAGAACTGGTGTGTCTGTCTTCCCTCATCCTTCCTCCCTGAGTAGCAGTGCTCAGGCAGAGGGGAGGAGGAAACATGTAACTTGTACTTGGAGGAACCCGGCTGGGCTGAGAAGGGGAAAGCAGGAGATGGTGTTAATTTTTAACATTTAAATTTAAATTGATTGAATTTTAATTAATTAATGGGTGTGGAGAAAACTCGGTTGTAAGTAAGAGAAGCAAAGGATTCAGCAGTGTTCAGGCTGGGTACATAGGCACCCTGTACAATGAGCAGAGAAAGTCCAGTGTCAGAAGAAAGCTCAGCAGCTCTACTGAGGGTTGTCTGAAACAGCCAGTCATGCTAAAGAGAGAAAAGGAAATTCGTTAAACTCAGGCTTTGCACTCCTCCTAGGTACTTTGAAACCTCCCTTCATTTGTGTACCAGATCCCCCTCGTAGAAATACTTACAACTTCAACAGGGCAGTGAGGATGGAGGAGTCCTCTGGTGCCACAGCTCCCATCCCCAAAACCCATGTTTGAGAGAGCAAGCCATGTCCTGTTCTATGGCCCAAGACAGATGTGACAGTGACTTCCAAGCCTCGTGCTTGGGGTGCCCTCCTGAGAAGAGGGAAGTCCCAC